TTACATAAAGCGTATTTCCACTTGCATTCATTTCCCATTTGTAAGATGCAACTTCTGTTAAAATCGTAGAAATCCGGCCACAAATATGAAAGATAGCATTGCACATGGGCAATCCATTGTTGACGTGCTACTTCAATTTCAGTTTATGAGAATTTCATTTCAATGCTTTTCTAAATAAGAAAGTTGGAACTGCGCATGCGCAAACCTCAATTTTAAAACTAATGTTAGATTTTCCTTTGTTCCAAGCGCCTAAGTATCAAATTTCACTTAAATAGTTCCATAGATAAAAAAGTTGGCACGGCGCATGCGCAAAATAAAATTTTGAAACTGGCGCTAGATTTTCCTTTATTCCAAGTGCCTATGTATCACATTTCATTTAAATTCTTCCATAAATAAAAAAGTTGGCACTGCGCATGCGCAAAACCAAATTTTGAAATTGGCGTTTGATTTTCCTTTATCCCAAGTGCCTATGTATCAAATTTCGTTTAAATTCTTCCATAAATAAAAAAGTTGGCACTGCGCATGCGCAAAACCAAATTTTGAAATTGGCGTTTGATTTTCCTTTATTCGAAGTGCTTATGTATCAAATTTCGTTTAAATTCTTCCATAAATAAAAAAGTTGGCACTGCGCATGCGCAAAACCAAATTTTGAAATTGGCGTTTGATTTTCCTTTATCCCAAGTGCCTATGTATCAAATTTCGTTTAAATTCTTCCATAAATAAAAAAGTTGGCACTGCGCATGCGCAAAACCAAATTTTGAAATTGGCGTTTGATTTTCCTTTATTCCAAGTGCCTATGTATCAAATTTCGTTTAAATTCTTCCATAAATAAAAAAGTTGGCACTGCGCATGCGCAAAACCAAATTTTGAAATTGGCGTTTGATTTTCCTTTATTCCAAGTGCCTTATGTATCAAATTTCGTTTAAATTCTTCCATAAATAAAAAAGTTGGCACTGCGCATGCGCAAAACCAAATTTTGAAATTGGCGTTTGATTTTCCTTTATCCCAAGTGCCTATGTATCAAATTTCGTTTAAATTCTTCCATAAATAAAAAAGTTGGCACTGCGCATGCGCAAAACCAAATTTTGAAATTGGCGTTTGATTTTCCTTTATCCCAAGTGCCTATGTATCAAATTTCGTTTAAATTCTTCCATAAATAAAAAAGTTGGCACTGCGCATGCGCAAAACCAAATTTTGAAATTGGCGTTTGATTTTCCTTTATCCCAAGTGCCTATGTATCAAATTTCGTTTAAATTCTTCCATAAATAAAAAAGTTGGCACTGCGCATGCGCAAAACCAAATTTTGAAATTGGCGTTTGATTTTCCTTTATTCGAAGTGCCTATGTATCAAATTTCGTTTAAATTCTTCCATAAATAAAAAAGTTGGCACTGCGCATGCGCAAAACCAAATTTTGAAATTGGCGTTTGATTTTCCTTTATCCCAAGTGCCTATGTATCAAATTTCGTTTAAATTCTTCCATAAATAAAAAAGTTGGCACTGCGCATGCGCAAAACCAAATTTTGAAATTGGCGTTTGATTTTCCTTTATTCCAAGTGCCTATGTATCAAATTTCATTCAAATACTTTTATAAGTAAAAAAGTTTGCAATTCGGTTTATAAATGGTCGAGATGCGAAAAGGGCACTGTGAATTTTGAATCGATTCAACTTTTGGCATTGCGTATTATTATGGCTAAAGCTATGCCCATATTGAATTTCATGCAATTCAGTTCATAACTAACGGAGATGTAAAAGCGATCGAACATTTCTAAACAAAGTTATCGTTCACAGGGACAGATAGATGAACAGACAGACAAAGGAACAGACGGAGAGACCAACCGGCAGGCGACAGATAGCAATGCAAAATTATAAACGATCTCTAGGATCGTTAATAAACGGCAAAAGTGTAAAATTATGGAACATGTAAAAAACGGTTTTTTTGTTTTTTTTATAATAACTTTTTTTGTAAGCGGTACAAAAAAAATTCCTTCCTTGGTACAAGACTCGACACCATAACGAACCAAATAGCGAAAAAAGTAGAACAATAGCTCTTAAGATAAAAAACTAGTAGCGTCGCAAAGTTAGCGGACGGACGGACGGACAAAGTGGCCACAATAGCGCATTTTTTTTTTATTTTTGTGGAAATGCGCTAAAATAGTTATTTGTGTACCAAGGCCGTAAAAGTGATCTTTTTTGGCCGAAGCTGCTGTTTGTGGCCGAGGCGGTAGCCGAGGCCGCAATTCAGATGAGGCCTAACAAATCACTTTTAGCCAAGGTGCACACAACATTTTTTAGGCGATCATCAAAAAAGAATTCAAAAATTTGCTCATAAATATATTTTTTCTGAAAATCATAGTTATCTTAGACAATTAAAAACAAAGCATTTCCTGTCGTATGTAATAAATTATAATTAGCATCTTTGCGTGTGTTTTGTGCGGATCAAAATGGGTGATAGCGACAGTTCAGATACACCAAATGAAATTTTGGAAGCTGCAAGCGTTGCGACCCTAAGTCATATATGATATAAGAGCAGGCGTTTGAGAGTAAAAGTACAATCGCAACTTCTTCCGTTGCACAAGATTTTAATAATGTCAAATGCAATAGGTACTTCGCAACTGTGGCTTCCAAGACCTTATAGTTAACATGCTGTACAATTATTAGAAACCTGATTACCTACTTTGATGGCAGGTATAGGTAGCTACTTGTGTTCTCGGTTAATTGCTGGGGATTCTTCGTATAATAATGTAAGCAATAACATCTACCCCATGTTTTGGTTCTACACTTCAAAAAGGTCTGCAAGCAGCAAAGATTGAAACGTCAAACTATAATTTTAAATGTGAACATTGTGATTATGCAAAATAGTGTGAAACATTCCAAAAATGAAAAAAACGCACGTGGATGGCCCAATCCTTGATGGGGCTAGACCAGATAGACGCTTGTATTAAACAGATTACCTATACTGTTTCTCACACATCAGTTTCAAATAAGTAGGTACAGTTTGACAGATGTGTACAATAAAGTAAAGTTTGACAGAAGCGTACAATAAAGTTAAACTTTATGGCCGCAAAAGCGTCCACAAAATCAACGTTTTTGTGATGATAGCCTAAAAATGTAATTTTTAGCTTCCTAGCATGTGCTAGGTAGCTATTGCGATAGCCGTTTTTTGAACATTTCAAAATTTCATCAAATGTCGACGTTTTAGACCATTTTAAGCAACTTTTAAAGAATAAAATTCTTTTCCGTCTGTATGTACGTACGTATGTACGTTTGTTGGCAATTTTCTGAGAAAACGGCTCGACGGATTTTGTTGAAATTTTGTATATATGTTTTAGGCATACCGAACAGAAAAATAACGGGCCGGATTTTTGAAAAAAAATTTTGGAGCGCCGTAACGGCATCGAACTTTTTTTTCAAATAGCAACCTAAAATTTTTATTCTATTATTTGGAAGACCTTTTTTTCCTGTGTACAACCTACAAAAAATTGGGCTGGGTTATATTATCAAAAAA